GCTGCTCAGGTTTCCTCGTAACCTTTGGTGGCAGCCCGGCGTGCATCTCTGCGGGTTATTTATACGCCCAGCGGGACCGGGGTGCGCGTGACACCGGGACAGCGCAATGGATGTCAACAGAGGGGGATGGCACCAGGAGAGCCCCGTCTCTGTCCCCTCCCAAACCTGTCCTCTCTGGGAACCGCCTTTCCTCCTCCTGCCTGATGTTTTGCAGCAACATAGGGACTTTTTTTACCCTTTTTTATTAACAAATCATCTTGTCATTTTGTGCAGTGGGTGCCTGGGACTGCTAAGGGGCAGCAACCCCCCCGCAATCCTCCCTGGGGGCTGGTTTCCCATCGCAGCTCCATCGCTGCCTGCCTCTGTTTTCCCTCCCACGTGCAGGATGAAGAGAGGGGAGCTCTTTGACTACCTCACCGAGAAAGTCACCTTGAGCGAGAAGGAAACCAGGTAAGGCCAGATGCAAACGGCCAAAAATCACGTTGCCAAAGCAGAGCGCGGGTTCGAAGGCTGACCTTGCAGCTGGCACGGCACCCATGGGTGACACAGCATCCCAGGCGCGGGGGCTGAGCTGTGGGGTCCCTGTCCCCATGGGCACGGTGCTGGGGGGCACTGGGGCTCAGAGAGCTGCTGTCACCTGTCCCCAGGAAGATCATGCGCGCGCTGCTGGAAGTGATCGAGTACCTCCACTCCATCAACATCGTCCACCGGGATCTGAAGCCGGAGAACATCCTTCTGGACGATGACATGAACATTAAGCTGACGGACTTTGGCTTCTCCTGCCAGCTGCGCGAGAACGAGAAGTTCAAAGGTAGGAGGATGGCGAGGCAGGCGCGATGCTGGGGCCAGTACGGCCGCCCCGTCACTGCAGTGCCCGCGGCGTGTCGGTGGGGTCTGTCCAGCCCCGGTGTCTCCTTGGGGCCAGTTTCACTGCCGTGGGTGCAAATTGGTCCCTGTGGGCTTGGGATGTCCTCCTGCTCGTGCACCAGCCCGGCACGGCCTCCACACCACGCTCCTTGCCATGAAGGAGTGGCTGCCCATTAGGAAACCCATCCTATTCCTTCCGCTTCTTTTTTCCTCCAGTTGATCCTTACTACCCCATCCCTTTGCTGCCCAACATCAAGGTTTTTTTCCCCCCAACTCCTACCCTGCAAAGAGCCACGTATCCAACAAGGGGCATCCCCTCCTGCTGGCATCCCCATCGC